TCATGAAGGACAGACGAGGTCGGTATCAAACACACACACACACACACACACACACACACACACACACACACACACACACACAAGTTTTCCTCTGAGCTCTGGCTATAGTTGAGCATCATGTGCATCATTGATAGGTACAATAGAGAGCTGCACGATTATTCAAAATGTGATCGAAATCGCAATATGGACTAGTGCAATATTCCATTCGCAGAAGTACATTAATTGTGTTTCTTAATAAACAAGTGTTCAGGTGCTGTTAGATACCCCGTGGTTCGAATTGTATTCTACAAACGTAACCAAAGATATTTGATATATACTGTATAGCAGGGGTCGGCAACCTTTTTGATATGAAGTGCCATTCAAAAAGAAACGTCAACCCCCCATCAACGGGGAGGAGTTTGACGCTCGTGAACTGTCAACAGGAGGAGCGGGGAGCCTCGCTGCGGGGAAGCAGTGTGTGGACCTGTCAGCGCAACTTACATGATGCCGAATTTAACAAACAAATTAAAATAATTGGTTTAAACGGCATAATACAGTAATAAGGACGATCGTCCGTTCTGTGATTCTCCAGAACACACAGATGGCCAGTCCGCCCCTGTGTAGCATATTATTTCGATGAGAGATGAGCAGATCGCCACTGGGCTTTCAACTAAAGACACAGCCACGCAAAAACTGCGGCCTTTGTACAGCTCCTTATGGGTACTGCAATTTGTGAAGTGCTTTCCTCTGCGGTGAAACGATCAGCACTGCACCACGGAGGAAAGGGGCAGAAAGTCGCCTGGAGTTAAAGAGAGCGGGACTGCGTTGCGTGCATGGCTTCCTTCTGCAGGTAACGGGGAGACGCGCTCTGGCGACGGTCTCGTTCAGGATCCGAAAATACAATTAAAATATTTTGCCCACTTATTCCACTTATTCTATGTGCCACTGTTTACGGTGCCGCGTGCCAATGGTGGCACGCATGCCAGGGGTAGCCGACCCCTGCTGTATAGTATCTTAAAATAATCACACCATGATCATTTTAATGTATTTTACACTGACATTAAGAATAATGATGCAACGTTATTAATCCCTCCTATATCACAATATCCTCCAAAATGTATGCGATTTGTCATTTATTCTACAAGTTATGCAGACCTACAAGAAACAATAAGAGATATCAAACATGGCATATACAAAGACAGATCATGTGTTTCAGGTCCTGGTTCAAATCATCTTTCCAGCGAGTCTTTCTGCTGACCTTCAAACCAGAGTCCTCCAGGCCAATGGACACGCTAATTAACGGTTCTCTCGGTTACTTCACAAAGTCATTTCATTCCCTGTATGTCCACCTCTAGAATGGACAGGCATACTGAGAAGCAGGACTTTATTGTTTCATGTTTGGGTCAATAAATTCTGCCCAGATGATGCATATAAAACAGACTACTGTCCACTTTTACTTTCCCTAGTCTTCAAATAAACATGTGCATAGGACGGCAATCTCCTCCACCACAGTACAAGTTTTTCAATTCCTCAACTGAATGTGATTCTGCGATGAAAATCCATCTGCCAGTGTGCCCCGTGGCGACTTAAAGTACAATCCCAATGCTTTGTGATAATAGAAATGTTAGGCGGGGACCGTGCAGGCTCAGAATCGGGAGATGTCACAATCTTCACTAAAGGGATTTCCTGCCATATTGTTGAGGCTTAACTATATTCTGAAGTTAGTAATGACGGCATGATGGAGCATGTGCTTATAAAATAGGACACCAGACACACATTCCCACCAGAAAGCAATCTGGTATGCTCACGCTGTGAATACTGCACTTTATCTGCCATCTGTGCAATGTACTTCCAAATGATATTTTTCATTGTGTGGGATGTCAAAGAATATTAAAGTGTTGCTCATAAGTTATGAAACTTCAGGTCTTGGAAAATATTATTTTTAGTTCATTTTATTTGTAGCATGTGCTGGAACAAAATTAATTAAGTCATGATGACTTTCATCTATATATACAAATACTAATACAAAATCAAAAACGTTGCAGATAATGATACAAATGTTGGGCATTCATTTTGAATTCATGATGTGCCAGAATAATCTCAACCAAACTGTTCTTGACAATACATTACATAACACTTTAATAACACAGTCATCACGTAATATAGTGATTGTTTTTTACATGAATCATTTAGTTCCACAACAAGCAGGCTGAGGCGTGTTGGTGAACAGAATCCCTAAAGACAATATGGTGAAGTGCAGTAATTACTGATTCCATTTGAATTGTTGTCTTTACCTAGGTAATATAAGTAATAGCTGATGAAAACCTGAAAACATTTAAAGGACAAATACACATTCTGGTTTATTGAGAATAATTGTTTAATCAAACGGTGTCTATGCTGATTCATTAACACATCATTAAACACGAAGCAAGTGTTTGACAATTAATATGGGCACTAGTAGAAAACGTTTTTATATTGTTTTTTACACCAGCTAGAAAGCAGATTTAGTAGCATTATCATGCTCTGTGCTGGCCTGGAGTTTAAACTTTTTTCACACATTATATTCATTTAGTGGTAGATATTTAAAACAGGTATTGATTGATTAAGATACAAAAGAGAACTTTGGGGCAGGTTTAAAAATCTTAAAAAATTAACATTTTGTATCAGTGCTTAATGGATTACATGAATATTTACCTGTTCCTATTTAGACTGTTTTCAAATGTTCTGACAGGTTTGAATCATTTTGGTTGTTATGTAAAATACTTGCACACTAAAGCCGTACACAGCCTGCTGTCATTGTCAGTAATCTGTTGTCTTCATTCAGAACGTTTGGTACTTGGTGCTTAACAAACCTGGCTATTAAAGTGATAGATCTCTTCCTTTCATTTAGCTCCAGATCATATTATTTATGACAAGTCACACCGCTTTCCCTATCAGATATGGCGTTAATGTGCCCTCGAGAGTTAAACTGAAGTCACCCTGAGTGTGTTGATTGGGGAAGTGCCAGGATGCCTGTCGGAGGTCATAGCCAAAACACTCACACCACAAGTTATTACCCATATTTTTACCTGTCAATAATACACTGACCTTGTCACTGCTCTTTAACGGCCACATCATTCACCGTTTATGGCTCAATTAAAATACCAATCAAAGTTATTTATCAGTTAGTGCTTTGCTGGTCCCTCAGAAGTCAATGAGAGGTGAAATGAATAACTAAAACATGGTTCAGAATCTCCTCCTAAACTCCTTATACTTAGTGTAAGTTTCTCCACAAATGTTGAACATTACTTGAAAGGTCCTATTGTTCTATTACAGATTTAGGACCAAATTGATGTCAATGAAGGACGAGAGCACATTTCAACATGTGATCCCTCGTCATTAATGTCCAGCGTTTTGAAACCACTAACTACAACATCTTGATTATAAAAGCACAAATATTTTGTTCAGATAAAAATCAAATCAAATCAAATCAAGTTTTATTCATATAGCACATTTTTAAATGATTTTTGGTCGAGCCAAAGTGCTGTACATATAATAAAAATACCCTACAGTAAAGACACTTTACAGCAAATACAACAGCACAGTTTGTGCAGAATATCAGTATGAGAAAACGACACCCAGTAGTAGTAGGGATGAAAATTCAATTTGTTTGAAAGTAATTCAAATACATCCCACAAATCCTAATCCTAAAGTAATTTGAATCTGCCATATACATTTAGTGTTAAACGTAACTGTCAGATGCTTGTATTTTGCAAGGAAAATAAAACAACCAAGCCCAGTTTACTGACAAGACAACAGGGCATACAATGTGTTGGACAGATTGCATTTCTGATTAATATTGACATCCTACAGCATTTTAAATCCATTGTTGAGCAGTTATAATCCATCAAATCACTTGGAAACCTGTAAATATCTACTATCTTTTTTCCATTTGCTGAACTATTTTGATTTCAAAATGTCTTGTAGATTGGCATGTGAGAAGAACCACTTATGATGAATAAATTGAAACCTTCCCAAAGGAAGTCTAGTTCACAAGTGTCACTAAAGTATAATTGGACAAAAGTGAGAGAAAAAACAAAAGCTCTGTAGAAAAGAAAAACGTTATGAGATGTCAACGACAACATCTCCCCGTCGCCTCTGACCATCGATGAACCCAATCACACTTTTCCATCTATCATCACCTCGGTGTTGCTTCCAAAATGAGTCATCCGTGTGGGCTTAAATTGGCCAAGGACAGCCGAGATGAAAGATATCCCATAATGAGGTTTCTCCCTTAGGAATCAATGTGTAGCTTTGTCCCTAGGGGCACTGAAGGTTGTCTGTAAAAATCAGTCTACTGCAGGGTCCTGGCCTGAACAGCCGGCCTATCTATCACCTTGTCATCTTGTTGATGGGCGAAAGGGAGGTTTATACAGTCACAAAGGACATTGTTGTTCATACTTTTGAATACATTAAAGCGGTAGCTGTATACCGTAGGTGACGCTTTGTGCGACAGACTTGTCACGCTGTGTCTTCTACGTGCATTGCGTGTTACCTCCCCAATCATTGCACTGCATAATCAAATTGCCCTTTGGGAATCAGATGACTTTGTGTCTGAGGGAGATAATGCAGAATATGATGATGAGCTAAACCAGGCTTGACCTTGTGTGTCGGTGTAATCATCCCTGGATTGATATGAATCTGCAACATCAAGGATAAGTCCTCACTGCGTTTGACAGCTGAGAGCAAAGAGTGCAAATCTATAATCTTTCACATGTTTTACAACATTTCCTTTCTGCCTGACCTTTAAACTGTAATTCAAGAGGCGAGCAGTGAAGCTAATTATTATTGAAGCTTTAATTGAGTAGTTGAAGAAGTTGTGGAGTAGAACTTGGCCGTGAGAGCAAATGGAGGGTGAATCGAATGTGAATCTCTAATACAGACCATTGACTTGATGGTGGGAGACGAAGGAAACTTGGATTGTGTAGATGGTTTGAATCTAAAACTTTTTTCTTTCTTCTACTTTCTCCCCTTCTCTGCAGTCCGTCTGCTTTGAGGCCAGGCAGCTGTGTTGGGCACCGGGTGTGGATCCTGCTGGCCATGACCCACCTCACCCTGGACTTCTCTGTGTGCAGCCCCCTCAATCAGGGTACAGGGGTCAAACTCACACCTAAATCGGTGCCTCGCTCTCGACCTCGCTGGCAGCCGCTCTGGGACACGCCCAACAAGCTCCACTGGAGAACAGTGAGCCCGTTGGCCCGCCGCCTCCTCAACCCTATCCCTCCGCCTCAAGACAACAGGGCAGGGATAGGGCCAAAAGTCAAGAGTCAAAAGCATAGGAAGCCAGCACACAAAGGACAAGCCGGATGTAAGGAGTGCCGGTTGAGAAACTCTCAAATGGAGAGTGGTGATCCTTTGGCTGTAATAGCGGAAGCTCCAGCAGCTTTATCCAGCGGCAGTAGAGGAGACGCAGTGAGGTTGTTACTTCGAGCCCGGAGGCAGCTCAAATGGGACAATGATAAGTCTCAGGAGGGCCGGACTACCACAGTGGCCGGATTTATCGACTGGGGACCCACGGGGACAGATAGCATAGATGACGTCGGCAAACCCAACGTAACGCTGTCCACCAAGGTCTCAACCTCCACAGTGGCCACGACCACTAGCAGTACAACCAGTCTCACTCAAAGGACGTTCACTGTGGTGACCACACCGGAGGCCAACAGGATAAGCACCACCAAGACCACAGGCGTGGAGACCGTCAAACCTTCAAAGCCAAATGGGGACACATCAGGTAAGATACGTAAAGCAGCTCAGAAGCTAAAAAGCTAATGCTAATCTACCATTAAAGTCTTAGGTAGTGAGTGAGCAAGTTTAAGAAATCTTTGTTACGATATGTTAACTATGATACTTTATTCAAGTCTGAAAAGTCTTGTTGCATCATTTGGTTTTAATCTTGCTTGACAGACTCATCCCTCGTCTTCAATACAAGATACCGTGTTGTTTTACAACAAAAAAGGGCAAGCTCCCTTTAACTAAAGAACATTTACTAATTACAAATTATAAACCTGTTTGGCACAGAAAAAAGGTAATGGATTTATAGTAGTGCCCCAAGTGTAAGGTATCACGAATACTGCTCCTGCTAAGTCTACTGCTCTTCAAAGTTAATTTAATTTCGGCTTGTGATGTGATGAGGCTAAGGCTATGTTAAAACTTCAAAAATATGTATAAATGTATCAAGCTTGTATCTATGTACGCCAATTTACACACCAAGCTCCAACAGAAATAGAATCGGAAACGTTCAGAGCAGCAACTGAATTTGTGCTATAGTGTATATTGAACAGACAAATAAAGTAGTCCTAACGCTGTGAGAAGTCAACACTTGAGAGAAAAGTTGAACAAACTTATATTAGGCAAAAGGGCACACTGGTCACAGGAGCAGTATATTCATCCCCACAGAGACCCGGGTTTCAATTTGACTTCAATCCTTCTTTTTTGGTGTTTAGTCAACCTTTTTTAATACGGTTAAAACGGTTTGCTCTCCAGCTTGCTGGTCACAAAACAGCACAAAGTCATTTCAGGCTTAATTTGAACCCAATAGAAGCTTTCAATGTTAAAACTATGTAATTTAGTACTGCACAGACTAAATCTTTGTGGATCCCTGTCCATTTGTTTGGGAACCCAATCAAGCCATAGTTTGATTTCCTGTATTGGTACCTCCAGCTTGGTTGTGTGTTCCAACAAACACAGTTGGCACATGGTGACATGTGGGAAGCTGGTGTGGAATCACATTTCTATGGCTGCCCTACAGACTTGATGGTGGCCTCCATGTGGCGGGATGGTGTGAAAAACCTCTTGCTGGCAAGGGAGAAGAAGATTCTGGCAACATGATGTGTTATGTAGGTAGCACTTGGCTGTTAACTCCCTCGATAGGGAAGGGACAAATAGATCGTTGTGCATCCCCATTTAGCGAAATAATTGGGGTAAATTGCAAAAAATGTAAAACACATTTTAAAGTGAGGTTGTCTCCTACCTTCATTCTCTTGCAATCTATGATCACCTTTTCATAGTAGCGCATGATGATCCACAGAATTGATCTACATTTCATTCATGTAAAACTCCACTTTGGAGAAAAAAGCACCTGATTGACAGCCTATGTCCTTCACCATACTGTGGCCCTCATGCCTGAAGTACAGTTCAGGAGCGCTAAAGATTTTTATGGACAGTCCCTCTGTGCTGTGAGAACGCCTAGACTATATTATATTTACCATTTCATTAAGTCCTCGAGGAACATGGCTTTCTAAATGGACCGTACAGGTAGTTAAACGTAAGTCATGTTTAACAACTTATGAAGGAAGCACTATGCTAATTAAAGCTTTCCCATTTGGTGCATAAATATAAATGTCATAAGATTAAGCAGCTATAACAGTAATGGTGATCAAAAGTCCTGAGCCGCCTCCTGCTCAATTACAATGGAAATTGTCTTCATACATGGAGAAATGTAAAATTCTATGTGCAGTCGAAGTCCTACTGATTTCCAAAATATGAAAAATATGAAAATATGTATTTTAATTTATGAAGTCTTGCTGTTTTATGACTTTGTGTTTTCAATGTGGCTTTCAACACACTTTTTGCTGTCTGGAGAAATGCTGTGACTATTTTGGGGAATTTGTGGAGCAGTACTTACAGTAAGGTGACCTTTTTTACCTTCATACATACTTACAAATTAAAGTGGGCCAGTTACTTATTAGAAACCATCTTTAGCTCTTGGACATATTTTAAACATAATGCAAATAAAGGTAGTACAAAAAAAAAAAGGTATATTCAGTCACGTATTTGACCAAGAAATGGTAATTAGTATTAACAATAACCGATTACGCACTCTTTCTAACAGTATGTCCCTGCCTTCTTCCTTCGTTAGTAAATGAAGCACAACATAATTTCAGAATCTAAATAATAAATGGAAGCACCACAGGGCTCGACTGGGATCACTAGCCTTTCTGGATCTCATAGCTGATATAAGCATGGCTTCTTTATGCTGTTTATCTTTGAAGACAAATAAAGCTCTCAGAACTTAGGCAGGAACACTATATGTAGGTTTAATTGCAAGTGGAATAAATATATGTTGTACTACGATGACTGATAGGTGTATATAGTGAATGTGAAATGAAATGGCAGTATGTAATTGTCTTGTCAGCGTTGTTGTGATCTCTTTATTTTCACTTGATTGGGAGGTGGCTGTGAGACCACTAATTATTTGAGATGATGGCTTGATATTGTATCCTGGAGGAACTGAGCCACCACTTAACTGAGAGCTGGAAATGAAAAGTCAGATTTTTCCGATCGGGTGCGCCTTATCGTATGAATAAGCCAACTTTGTCTCATCAGAGCAGATGAATAGAATCACATTCAAAGCAAAACCCTTGTGCTTAAATGCTGCAGAAAACTTTCCTTTTGCTTTCACAACACATTAACCTGTGTCTGCCTCATATTGGCCCCGAGGCGAGACATAATTACCACGCCGACAGCACCGCATCGGATGCTGATGAAATGAAACTATTACCGAAGGAGAGGTGCTTCACTTGGTCTCTGTCTCTTTCTCTTATCTTTCCTGCTTTGTCTTTGAAGATGTTTTTGGAGACATTACATTAATCTAAGTCTGAATAATGCAACATTAGACAGGAAAAACGAATTTAAACAAATTATCTTAATCAGAGTACACAGAACAATTGACCTCATCTAGATTTCTGCTTGTGTTTTGTGAGGTAATACAGGAAGTATTTAGTTCAAAACATAAGTAATTGGTCTCTTATGGATAAAAAAAGGGGATGATTTTTTCAAAGAACTGAGGAAGGAGGACAGATCTAACACATATTATTAGATATAATATAAGGAGTAATTAAAATGTCTTTCTTACTTTGGTTAAAGTATGAATCTGGTTTTTTATAACTAGATAATGAGATTATGTTCATTATCAATGAATCTGACGATTAAAATGCTAGAAAATCATGATGTCTTTTACATTTACATTACATTACATGTTACTTGTTAGACGCTTTTATCCAAAGCGACTTACATACTCAATACTGTGGACAATCCCCACAGGAGCAATTTGGGGTGAAGTGTCTTGCCCAGGGACACAACGACATGCTGACTGCAGTGGGGTTAGAACCTGTGACACCCTTATCCGAACACCTACGGACAACCCACTATGCCAAACCCCCCCTCACATTTCTTTTTTAACAGTGCAACCCCAAATATGTTGTGTTTAATATGGACAGAGAAACACAGCAAATCTCCCTAAACATTTTTTTGAAGATCCACTAAGTAACACATTTTGCACGACGTAATTATTTAGGTGTTATTTTGCAGAATTGCCTGTCACATTGTTAAAGAAAAACAATTGTATTCACAAATGTAATAACATGGCTACAATGTGGTTTGATCAATGCAATACTTATTTGTCACAAATTATTCTTGTTTTTATTTACACCTAGCTTTTTTGCTATTGGATAGCGAGTGAAATGTTATTTTCAAGCGCCAGATATGGTTGTAGGATGTTGGCTGCATGTTTTGATGTAAACACTCTTTGAACAAACACTTTGAGCTGGTAAATTAGCTGACAGTCATTTAAATTAAACAGTAAATTCATTACATGCAATAGTTTCTTCTGCCTCAGTAAGACACTGCAAAACCACATGTCATACTGTATATTAGGGCTGTCCCGAATACCATTTTTCGGGCTCCGGATATTCGGTAGTAATCAGCAGCGAATATTCAGTCAGCAGCGAACCGCTTCAACACATGTATTTCGGTTTATTCACGGCATTCATTTTGTTATTCTACAGTATTGTTGTTTTATAGTTATTTGTTAATGTAAATAACCCAATTTGTGTTCTTTCGAATTGAAAAGGATATTGCATTGTGTTTGTTACTTTCGTTGCAGTTGTATATGTCTTAAGTGTAATTTGGCTTGGTTTCCTATTTTGTATGGACATGCTTTTATTTTGAAGGAGAGTTAGCGCTGTTGACAGGAAGTTGTTGTTGCTATGGAAACAACTTGACGGAGATTAACGGAGAAAAAGTAATATCTACATATAAAGACGGAGAAAGTAAACAATAACGTTTATGGTTAAGTGTTAGCACCCCCCGAAGAGGCACAAGCTCTTACTGGATATTGGAGTTTTCAATAAATTCAATTTGGCAGCCGCAGAGCAAAGCGGCTGCCAAAAAAAACGAAAAAGAAAAAGAAACGAATATCCGAATAACGAAATGGAAACCCGAATAGTACTCCAACGAACGAATATTCGGATATTCGGATATTCGGGTACAGCCCTACTGTATATAGTATATCACTTTGGACAAAGGGCTTCTGTGGCTTTCGGGTTTATTGCCCAAACAGATTCAAGCTGTGGCGTGTAAACTTTTATCGTTATAGAGATGTACACTGAAAAATACATAACTGTTCGGATACTGTGTATGCATAATGTATGTTTGCTTTCATGCATGCACAGACTTTTAGTCCCGAATGTTGAGATATGAATTGTTTGCATTTGGCACCCAGCTGTTTGGTGGATACTGTGTGGCTTTTTCTTTGTGTCTTGTCGTTCTCCAGGCGTACTCTCACTGTGCCAACTTAACCATGACAACCTTCTCAGGTGAATGATGTAAGATCTAATTATATTCGTGGCAATACTTATACAGAACAAATTCAAGCGGGGACATGACATGCAAATCCTCCAGGTAATCTGCGCCCAATGTGAGGGACGAAATCATCAAAATCATGCTCTATTA